ATGACCTATTTTGGTCTTTTCATTTTTAATCTGTTACTAGGTTAGTAAAACAAAACAAAACATCTAAGAAAAGAAATAAAGAATGATAAATGTAATAATGCATCCCTCCCTAGAGGAGGAGGTCTCTCTTGCTATACATCACCCAGTGTAGTCATCTGTGAAAGAGACACCCAACGGCTGTGCATAAACACACTTTATCTCCAAGTGCAAATATAGAAAACATAGAACAGTCTATCCTGTGGGTGATTTCTTAGCCCTTTTAGTAATGGTTCCATAAGACAGCAAACTGCTGAGTGATAAGGGAGGATTTGAAATATAAATTCCATACTAAATTATTGGCTGCTGTTCAAACTCTGTCTGCTTAGAGTACCCAGCAGCAAAGTATGTCCCAAACAGGATTCCAAATTTAAACAATACATTCTTTTGCCTTTCCTGTGATGTATGAAGTTGAGTCTACAAACAATCTAAGAATTTCATGGTCAGCAAATATAAACAACTACAGTTAAACTTGGTAATAATGCAGTAATCACTTAAATTTATTGAAGAATCTACCAGGCAACTGTTAAGTTTTATAAACTCATTTAATCTTCAAAACAACTCTATGACACCAGGGGTGAGAGGGAGGAGGAAAGAGGGAGTTTTTGCTTAGGCTGCATTGAATGTACGTTCCTGGTAGTGGGATAATTTGGAAAAAGATAGCAAGACCGGTTTTACAACCTGAAGAAGGTAATCAATGTCACTGAATTGTACATTTCAAACTGTTGAACTCTTGCATGTTTTGGTGTGTATATTTTCACCACACTTGGGAAGAAAAAAAAAAAACCTCTATGAGGAAGACAGTGTTATTCTTTTTTTACAGATGAGAAAACTAAGGCACAGAGAGTAATTTACCAAAGTCACAATGAGCCAAAATCTGAATCCAAACAATCTGGCTTGCCTATGCTACTAGTCTTTCCCATGTCCTCCTCTATAATAAGACTGTACACTTATTTTCTCTTCTTTTCATATTTAAGGAAACAAAATATATTTTTATTAGCTTATATTTTATTTTATTGCTATCTATAGTAAAAATAATGATTGTATAAACATATTTATTTTTCTGCTTTTAGATATTAGTTTTCTGACAAATTATTAGCAATCTTTTTTCTTTTAAACCTTTGTATTGAAATAAATCTCAACCTAACCTCAGCTTACTCCCTCACTTCCATGATGTTGCTTTTGTAAAACCCACATGTTCAGAAAAATAAGAAAATGAGACAAATGAATGAAAATGTGGATTAAACAATCTTTGCAAAATCCTATCTCTTACAGTACCTGTTTCATGAAGAAATGCTAATCTTCCAGAAAAGAAAAATATATTTGACATTTGTTTAGAATGTGTATTTTATAGCAAACTTTGATTTATAAAGAACAAAAATAAAGATAACTACAAGAAAACACTGTTTAACAAGTACATTGAGTATTTCACAAATTTCATTGCAAAAAAAACTCAATAATGGTTCTTATTAAAAATCAATTTAGAAGAGTTAATTTTAACCTCCTCAACCATTTTAAAATAGAAAGAGAAGACTATCCTTTTGGTGGACACAAAAACAATTGTTTCAAAAATATGATCCATGATTTATCTCATGCAGTAAGGCTACATGCAGGCTTCATGAGTGATTAAAAGTAAAACTAAGAAATGTCTACTTTTTTTAAAGTATTTAGGAAAAAATAAAAGGATGATAACATGATATTTGGGAGCTCTGGTAGGATAGTGCCTGAGGCATTTGACTGCTAACAAGAAGGCTGGCGGTTCAAACCCACCAGCCACTCCTCAGAAGAAAGGTTAGGCAATTTACTTCCATAGAGATACCACCTCAGAAACCCAAGGAGGGGTCGCTATGAGTCAGATGGACTTAACACAGTGAGTTTGGTTTTGGTTTTTAACGTGATATTTAAATATTTTAATGTTCAAGGCCAGACTCACAATATTCTAACCTATGACCTACAAATAAATGGAGCCATGATTTACATCAATAATATCCAAGGTACAAATAGAATCTGAAACCAAAGATAATAAAAGTATATGAGTTATAGTATTTAGAGGTTTAGGTGCCTACACAGTATATACATTTTCAAATAGTTAATGTCTTGATAGATCCCTGCTTTGTATTTTATTCTTATAACATCATCTCCACAATCAAGTCCATGAGTATTGTTAAAATTACTTGTAATTGTTCTCTGTTATCAAACTAAGAAGACTCTCCCTGAAAAATCTGGGATAAAAACCCATTGGCCACACTTATAATTCCCTTTCCTGATCTTATATTTATTTATACTTTCTCATATATTCATCACCAGAAATCTACAGCCACAAATCTTAATAGAACATCCACAACATATGTAGAGTGGAAAAACTCCAAAGCTAAATGATGTTTAGAACAATGACTCGCACCTAGTGGACTTCATGAGTTTGGTCTGAATTTTAAGAGTTAATCCCTGCCCAAAAAGTGCCCTAAATTCTAACAGTACCCAACTAAACTAAGAAGGAATCGCTTCTAAAATGTATGGTCTGGCAAATCATTGCAAATCATCAAGGCACTGATCTGGGTCATATAGAGTGGACATGGTCTCTACAGGAACAGAGAAGGACAGATGTTCCAGGCAGAGGATGACATGGATGATGGCAGGGCATCAAACAGTGCACTGTGTATGTATGTGGAAAATGACCAATAATCTGAATACCTGAAGTGGAGTCACCTTCTTATTGAGTAGTGGGAACTAAGGCTGGGAAAGTTAAATAGGTGCCAGGTGATAAAAGTTATCAAAATACCTAACATAGGTGTTTGGCAGCAACTAGGAGTTCCAGAAGATAACGGAAGAGTGGAGAGACACGTGCATAGTGATGCTTTAGGAAATTAATCTTGTTATCACTTGCAATATTTAGATGGCAATGAGTGGGTCTAGAGAGGATCAGCAATTTTATAATGCAGACCAAGGGTGAAAAGAATAGGCCTTAGTGTGGTGGAAGACATGGCAATGGAACTAACAATGCTTATAACCAAAAATCAAACCAAATCCACTGCCATAGAGTCGTATCCGGCTCAGTGACCCCTCCTTGGGTTTCCGAGGCAGTATCACTACAGAAGTAGATTGCCCAATCTTCCTTCCAAGGAGTAGCTGGTGGGTTTGAACCACCAGCCTTCTGGTTAGTAGTCAAGTGCCTTAGGTACTATGCTACCAAAGCTCCTAACAACGCTTATGGTGAAGAAGAAAGGGAGATCACAGTGGGAGAACAGATCTGCACAGTGCATGGAGAGCTTGATAGTTCACGTAGTAGAAGAAATCACATGGTTTTATCTGAGCTGTTCTTGACTCTTAAAGGAAAGTTTACAACTCTGAAGACAATTAATGATACTCAGAAATTCACTTCACAAAGAAATATGGCTTTCACTCAGGGCTAAATGTTGTGTTCAGTCAAATACACACTGTCCCACTGACTCCAAAAAAATTATACGCCTAGAACTAATGGTAGATTTTGACCTCATGTATGTGCTCATAAGCCAACAGTGTGACCTTCTCTAGGATAAAAAGAAGAAAAATGTAAAATATTTGGTTCAGACTTTTCAAAACGCTTTCAAAACTAAAACCTGTATAAAAAATCTTTCATCTTCACCAAAGCACCGGGAATTTCAATCTCTGATACCTGGTTACCAGAGTGTCTTTTGCACTATTGTTTGTATATGTTCATTATATATAATAAATTTCAATTAGTTTATAAATAAATTATTAAACATAATATATACTGAAATATATGTATTATTTCATTTTCCTGTATATACAATAAATAAGCTTAGTTTTCCTTGAAACGAGAACATTTGCTAAAAGGCTTGATACATTCTCATTCATCAACAAAATTTGTTCAAATGTTGTCTTGGGTAAATCTTTTCTTTATGTTGACAAAAAAGACAAATAGTTTCTTTTAAACTGTGCTTTTTTGTCTTTGATATTATGCTTAGACTAAATATTCATCCAATTCATTTAAAGGAATAACCTTCATATGCAAATCAAATCCAGTTATAGACAATCAGATGTCAATTCTAATCATATCTCTAGTGTACAGCAATAACTTTGGTCAGATTCAGCATGAAACTGATCACTCTAATTCAGACAAAATTAGATGGTAATTCATGGAAGGGGAGACAATATACTACAAAGAGATAAAAGAAGGATTTCCTTCAACTTTATAGTAAACACACATACTCATACACACACCACTCAAAAAAGGACTTTTTTTCCTAATAAATTCAGTTTTTGTTTTTTTTAAAAAAAAATCTATTATATCTATATACAAGGAATCACTCAATTTATTTTTTAAAAAATACCAGAACAACATTCTTCTGGATAGTTGTATTCAACAACTGCAAACATAGTGATTTAATCCCAGGCACATTTTGTGCCCAGTCAGAAGCATCTAGGGCAACTGTACTGTAACGGGGTCAGAACCAGCACAAGGTGTACCAATGTAATCAGAGAATCAGGCAAAAGGAGATACAGAAAGCAGCAAGTCAAAAGTACAGCAACACAAACATCATATGGGACTTTCCTCCTATTTACCACACAAGCTGCTCAGCTAGTTTAAATAAATGAAGTTATTTTGCTTCTAGGGAAAACATCTCTTCCATTTGTTAGCCGTTCTAATTGTGAAGGTGTTGTGAAATTGTCCTTTGTTATATTTTTGTTACCTAAGAGTGATAACTTGCCAGAAATATTTTGATGGCTATTACAACCTCATAACAATCTTTGTATTTAAAACAGAATGTGTAAAATTCTGAGAAAGAGCTGTTGTTTCTGATTTTTTACAAATTGAATTCACAATGATTATAATTCCTAATAGTGTTTTCATACAGTATAACAGTAAGAATCGAAGGAAACAAACAACACAGAATCAGAAAGAATTCTCTTCTTGTGGAAACATAATTCTTAAGAGTGCAAGTAGCTATTTATTTTGGTCTTACCTGACGGCAGCTCGTTTAACCAAGGGTATGTCCTTTATGCAGGCAGCTTATCCTTTGAAGAACCCAGTGGCTTGTCCCACAGCCCAAGACAGACTGGAGTCCTGGAAAACTATCCAGCCCAAAGGAATATAGAGGAAAAAGCTTTTCCCACTTTCTTTCCTAGGACTAGCCAATAGCTGAAGTCATGCAGGAAACTGAGTAGAAAGGGGGAAACTGCTTCTTCTCCCTGAAATCCTGAGCAGCAGATATTTGAGGTCGTTGCGTATCTCCCACCCAAACTTTTGTTTAAAAGTTTTTTCAACTGTTGCTAGGTGTTGTTGGGTTCTGAGATTAGGTTTCTTCTCTTCTGCTCCCTTCACAAAACTGTCAGAGCAATGACTTTGCTGGGAGCTGAGCTCGCGCGTGCTATATTTAACCAGTGTTCTCAGCAAGTCAAGCCTGTCAACAGCTGAGAAGTTTGGAGCCGGCTTTACTCAGTTCCTCGGCAGCTGGGTTATCAGTGGATATAGTGCTGCTCTCTCTGTAAAAGACTGCAGCAAAACCAGTAGTCCCTTTTAAGGACTTATGCTCATTTCATAGAGGTAATTATTATTTGAAGCTCTTAACTACACACTGTGATTTGAACCTAGGTTTTAAAATCTGAAATGAAACAGAGCAGCCAGTTGTCTTGGGCAGAGCAATTTACCAACGCAATTGTTTTCTGAATTAGACTTTCTTAGATAAGTGTTTTAAAATAAAAATGCTCTTAAATGAGTATCACAACTGTTGGGAAAATTCACAGTACGAGATCATTTCCAAGCAGCTTTTGACATTGATGTGTTACATTCAAAGCTAGATCACTTACCCAGTCATATCAGATGTCACCAACTAGATACCTGAATGTTATTAAAACAAGTTATGATAAAGGATTATCTATAACATTGTTTTTTTAAAAGGAATGAGGTTAATAACAACAAAAAAAAAAAACCAAACTCACTGTCATCAAGTCAATTCAGACTCATAGTGAACCCCTTTGGGTTTCTGAGACGGTAAATCTTTACGGAAGGAGATTGCCCAGTCTTCCTCCCACGGAATGGTGGGTGGGTCTGACCCACCAACTTTCTGGTTAGCAGGCAAATGCCTTAGGCACTATGCCACCAAAGCTCCTTGAGGTTAACATTATGTGTTGAAAAATCAGTTCCTTGTTGACTATTATAAAACACAAATTTCTAGTAGCCCTTAATGTCATTACTTCCATAGCATTCATTCAAAGTAACACATAGAGAACGCTCCAGGAAAACCAGAACCTGAGACCTCTCTGGTTCTTGACAGACTTGTTTCATCTTTAACCCTCTAGTGTCCCAAACCACAGAAAAATCACGTCTACTCTGAACTCCAACAGGAAGAATGCCTTGAGGTACTTTGTTTGCTTCATTCTATATCATAAAACACTATGAATCTGCCCAGATTAACATTTATGAAAAAAAAAGTGTGTAACTGACTAGTTCTTGAGGCTATCATATAATTCCATATATGAAATTAACAGTAAGGGGAACCAAGAGAGGCCCTTTCAGCCAAATCCACATGTAATGTAGAATGGGAGAAACACACATACATACACACATACAAAATTATTGGTTGACAAACTAGAATAAAGACCAGATAAAAATCTCACCAATAACATTAAAAAGGTGACTCCCTTCCTGGAATCAATGTATCAATTAAAAGATACCCTCATCTGACATACAAACTGAAGATGGACAAAGAAAACATGTAAAAGCATGGATTTAATATTTTAAAGTTACTTGCAATAAGTAACCCTGATATCTCTTTGGGAAAGGCTGACACTTTACACAAGAGTTATGTGTATGTGTATATATGTCTGTCTTTATACAGAAATGACCTTTACCTCCATGGTTAGCTGACCCCACACCTAAACCCTTTAAAAAACATCTCAGTTCTTCCCATCCCAGCCACCACACACTACTACAGTGCCAGAAAGCATCCTTTCACCTTAATTTAGTACTGTTGTTGTTGTTATGTGCCGTCGAGTCAGCCCTGACTCATAGCGACCCCTCCTTGGGTTTCCGAGGCAGTATCACTACGGAAGTAGGATTGCCCAACCTTCCTTCCGGGGAGTGGCTGGTGGGTTTGAACCGCCAGCCTGCTGGTTAGCTACTATACACATGTAAAATTGCATTTGTTCAGATTCAGTCTTCCTGGGTCTGAGCTAGTCTTGATTTGAACAACAACAACAACAACAAAAAAGACTTCTACTAATCTCTTGTGAAATTAACAGATTCTTCTAGAACACTAAGGGATCTTTTCCAAATTAACTTAATTTACCACAGTCCCTAAAAAGTTGATTCTGAAAGTGTGAAACTGACAGAATCACCAGGAAAAGTTTTAAAAATTTCAAGGGGATGGGATGAGAGAAGATTATGGTTTGAAAAACACATATAGCCCACACGCCACAGCCCCAAGTTGAAAATCACTTCACTAAAGAGGACCCAATGAATTCCTCACATCACTCCTCCCAAGAGTTTACTTTATGGATGTCTCCAATCCAAAATGAAGCAGAGAAGAATGGAGCCAAATATTAAGGTTACTGAGGGAAAATACTTTCTGTGCCTTTATACCAACCAAACTCTCTGCTTTCGAGTCACTTCGACTCGTAGTGACCCCTCCTTGGGTTTCCCAGGCAGTATCTGTACGGAAGTAGATTGCCCAATCTTCCTTCCGAGGAGTGGCTGGTGGGTTGAGCTGCCAGCCTTCTGGTTAGCAGTCAAATGCCTTAGGCGCTACACCATCAGAGCTCCCCTGTGCTTTTATGAGCCTAGATAATTCCATAACAACAACAGATAATTCCATTGCATGGATGATAGAGTTCTTTCTTCCCAAACTATGCAAACAGAATTCTCAGTTCTCTTTTTCTTTAATGAAAATCCAGTCTTTCACCATGCCTCCTTAACTCTTATATTCCTCTCCATTGTTGCTATCAGTTTATTTTTAAATAATCTGTTGAAAAGTAGCAGCAAGCAGAGGATCTCATATAATTAGATACTGTTGCTATCTTCAAAGCATGCTATTTAATTATACTAAGAAAATGTGCTTGTCTGATTCAGTGTTCCACAATAATCAGTCTCCCTCTCCCTCTCCTTCTCCCTTTCCCTCCTGTCCCTCCTGTCCCTCTACACACACACACACACACACACACAAGTGAATTGATTTGGAAAGGTTTCTTCTTCTGAGAATGATTTTTCAGATGAAAGCATTACCTACGTAATCCACAGAGGAAGTAATGCCATTAAGGACTATTAGAAATTTGTGTTTTGTACAGTGGACAAGGAACTGATTTTTCAGCACATATTGTTAATACATTACTGTTCAGTTGCATCCTTTTCCCACAGTCTTAAGTGTGAGTATTCTGAGAACCTCTGGTAAACTTACAAATAAAGCTTAATTTCCCAACTTCAAGGATGAGTCATAATGAAACTTTTTCATAAAAAGATAGATTAATGCTATCGGTCAGAAAAAAGACTAATTAAATAAGAGAGTTGGCATATTATTCTAAAACCAAATTTTGCTACCATGTTCACTAAAAAAGTCCCAGTGATTTTTTTTTTTTTTAAAGCAAAAGTTACTTAATATATCAGTAAGGAGAAAAATAGACACTTGCTTCAAAATGACGCTTACATTAACAATGTTCTGGGGAGGGAAGTTTCCAAACAAATATACTCTAATAAAGTTTATTGTCTGGCACTGAGACTTTAATATAAGCAACCTGGTAGCAGAGAATTTTTCTGTTTGTTCCCTACTGAAGCACCAAGTGCCATACTAAATATTCAATAAATAAGAATTAGCAAATTAACATACGGAAAATTAAAGAGAAAATGAAGTAACTGTAGAACCTATAGGGAGCTCTGAGGGCGTAGTGCCTAACGCATTTGACTGCTAACCAGAAGGCCGGCAGTTCAAACCTACCAGCCACTCCTCGGAAGAAGGTTGGGCAATCTACTGCCTTGGAAACCCAAGGAGGGATCTCTGAGTCGGATCCGACTCGACGGCAGTGAGTTTGGTTTGGTTTGGTAGAACCTGTGTTCTGGTTACCTAGTGGCACTCTGACAAGAATATAGCACAAATGGGATGGCCTTAACAAACAGGAGTTTATTCTTACAATTTGGAAGCTTTAAGTCCAAATTCAAAGTGCCAAGCCCTAGGGGCTAGGTGAAAGCCCCTCAACCTGGAGATCCAGCTCTGCCTCCTGCGACCGGCCCACTAGAGCTAGAGGCATTTCTTCACTCAGACAGCTGTTGGCTGCTGAGGCTGAGAAGCCCAAGGTTGATGAGTAAAAAGGCACAGTCCCGATGTTACCAAACCACATGGCAGGCCATTAATTTAAGCCCATTTTAAGTCCCAAGGTCGGCAGAGCATACCAGGCTGCTGAGCAATGACACAGCTACATGCAGAGTCCAAGCGTGCCATGAACTAGAGACCATTCCCAAGGCTTCTCCTTATATATAGGAAGCAGACCATATCCCAAAGGCTGCTTGTGGTAGATCCCACCATGGAGTTGATTGCCAGTCTCATCATGGGGAATAACTACTACCAGCTACCCAGCCACTCAACCAGGCCCAGCCAAGTTGACATACAAATTTAACTACCGCAACCTATATATGTAAGCTTACAAAAAACAATGCTTCCAGACACTCTGGACATATTTGGGTCATCATTAGCTGCATATAAAACTTGTAGAGAGAAAATTCTTAGAATGTGAATTAATTACTTTGAATTTTGTTAAAATTTCAAAGGGACATAATAGATTTCAAAATACTAATAATAAAATACTAATAATAAATAATAAGAGATCACTAAAAAGACAAGAAAAGAAGACCAAAGTGGATGACAGAAGAGACTCTGAACCTTGCCCTTGAGTGGTGAATAGCTAAAGCAAATGGAAGAAATGAAAAGGTCAAAGGGCTGAACAGAAGATTTCAAAGAGCAGCTCGAGTAGACAAAGCCAATTACTATAATGAAATGTGCAAAGACCTGGA